CGGGAACACGAGGCCACATTCAGTCTCACTTGCGGTTTTTGGCCAAGCATGGAGGTCAGGATGAAAGACCAACAGTACAAAACGGACACGATGGGGAGCACCCATGGGAGGGAAAAATATAGAATCAGCCCCATGACCAGGAGTTGAGAGATGAGGGTGCAGAGTAGAAATGCGAAATGCGAGTGAGAGCTGATGCTGAGACGAGGGGGGTGAGAAACATCTGTTTGCTATCAGGGCATGTTTCTTTTACCTCGTCACCTCACTGTGCAGGAGTAACGACAACACACAAAGCTGATAGGAACACAAACATCCATTACACTGCGATTTTCGTTTTATAATAATCTCTCTGTCAATGCAAACACGAATGATTTGTTCTAGATAAGCAGGTGCCACTTTGTCTGCCTGTCTTGTGTGATTATCAGATTTAAGCTACGTCTTTCCAAATAGTCTCAAAGCAATTTCACAGATGCTAATGACCCCAATTAATCTTCCGGAGTCTAAAAATATCTGTTTTTCACGTTCTCAGCTTCCATCTTATCCTGAATGCATTCATTCTTAAAAAGATAAATCATCTGGAAAAACATCCACATCTATGATTCCCAAAAGTCTTTCCCTACAGTTTTTGGGTCACAGCATACTGTTTTGCTCCGTCTTCCTGTGAGGTTCAGCTGTTACATGGCTTAAGTTCTCCTTACCTATTTCCTGGTATTGACTGTAGCTAACAATTGGACACAACATATATGTACAACAATGACTTAGTTTTTTATGGAACAATTATTTGAGTAACTTTACTTACATTTGAACAATGTATTACCTGAACCCATTGCTTAAAAATGATGACATATATACTGTGACCACTCACAGTACAAATGATACTATCATAACATTACAATGGTTTTGAGTAGACGTATAGCCTACTACGGTATGTTGAACACATAAACAAACTAACTTGAATTTGATTATAGTACAAAAAAGTACAAATTTCCCTGAAAACTAGATTTATTTGCATTTCTCCATGTACAGAGTAATCTTAAAAAGGCTATCTTACTGACAATAACTTGACAATGTCACAACTTAGACCTTTTGTAGACCATGATTTCAAAATGTGTAATTTTTTTCTAAAAGAGATAGGGAAGGGTTACTCTGACCTGCACACTGCTCATCAACTGTTATCAGAGCAGGTATGTTTGGAATTTGGGGGAATTTACATTCCAAAGTTAATGCAAATTATGGAATACGAGAACTTACCCCACACGTTGTTTAACCAAAGAAGCTAATGGCAGAAAATGCCGAGTAGTGGTGGTAAAGCAGATTGCAAACTCAACATCTAAACTTTTCAATTTTTTCAGATTTATACTTAATCAATCTGACATGAGAGCCTGTCATATTTTTGCTGTGAGTAGGTATCAAGGCCACAGACGTACTAACTACACAGTGGTTGCATATCAAAACTCTGCCTGCTTTGAAGTTTTTTACCATATGCACTTTCCATTGTGAGATTTGAGACAGATCAGGCACTTCCTAATAATCGGTGACTTGGAAGACATAATTTATATTGACTGCTACCATTCCCCTGCACACAAAATATACTCGGTTGCCTTGGAGAAGCCAATAACAAGCTAAAATCCAACAGGAAATGGCTTTATCTTTTATGCTGATGATGCATGTGTCCAAAGTTTCTATTGTGCTTTCTCATCTGTCACTGGGCGGAAACATCATCACCCAGCCTGGTGAAATCCCTTTTCACAGTCAGAAACTAGCCGCAATGTGGACCGAAGTGCGCCCGGATACTGACATTTTCACCTAGTGTGTGTGTGCTTTGTTGTGTTTTTGGATACTTAGTGTTATATCACGCCATTTCCATTCTATTCCTGACAAAGGTCTCTCCTTATATCACCATTAACTACTAAGCTGCACTCATTTCTCTGCGCCATTTAATGTTTGAGTGTACTGTAGAACCATTTTAATCTTATAATGTGCAGCTTACTTAAATGTTACCTTGACTGATGTGATTGGACGACACAGCAGCATTTGGCTGGGTTCAATCCAAGCAGTAATACATAGAAACTGTTGTTTTCATTGTTTTTCTTTTCTCCTTTGGCCAATATCGTGAGGAGGGATATGAGTAATTTCTACGAGTTTTAAAGGGAAATTGTGCTGCCATATTTGGTTAAAAGAAGGCAAGTCTGAATGCTAATGACTGCAAATGGGTATGACCGCTGTGGTATGGTATGTGAAGCTCATCAGCCATTACCCCTTCATATGCACTTTTTTACATATAAAAATCTGTAGACTATTGTATATTATCATTCTGTTAATCTGGAAGGATATTCTGGTGGTGATGAATTATCTTGTTCTTGTGTCAAACCTTCTTTAAACAATTTCATTTGGTTGTTGTTGTTGAAAATAAGCTATGTCGACTTGGTCCTGGAGCCTATCCAGGGTGATTAACTTTATCTTTTCTTTTAACACATGATATAACTTTCTAAATATATTACAAGTAGCCCATAGTTGTATTTTTCAATGATAAAAGTAAAAAGAATTACAACTAAAAACCAAGGGACCTGATAGGAGATGGTGAAAAGAAAAAATGCTCTTATTATATAGTGGAGTATAAATATATAGTATAAAAGTATAATTCAAGCATGGTGTATTAAACAAGTACCATCATGTGTCACAGCAAGACAAAAGAAATGCACAGATATGATAATGCATAGGTTGTCAGACAAGATAAAATGTCAAGTATTACTGTATTTTATACAGAAACCCACCATGTACTTTTCTGGTTGCTTTTAGCATTATGGGGGAAGTGTAAATTCCCACCACCGTGCATTTGTGGGTTCAGGCCTGCTCAGTTTTAGACACGAGACAGTCACACCAATGTGGAGGTAGAAGTCTGCAAAACCACAGTTGACAATACACACAGCAAAGCAGTCAGAGAATAACATGTAAATGGATACCGAAGGCCAGTTCAAGGCTTAACTGTCGACAAAAGAGTAATTCTTTAAAGGACTGTACGCAGTTCTGTGCCCTTTTCAAAGCTCACAGCTCCAAATCTAGACATACATTTAAATTTGATAACCTCTAAGATGGGTTGTGTTTTTTTTTATTGTTAATTTGGCTTCTAGTCTATCTTGTCTATGTCTTTAGCTCTGCAAATATACTAGTTCATTTGGATTTAAATGTTAAGATTAGAACCACATGTGGTCATGATTTCCAATACACAGCACTACACATTTCTACAGTGGTTGCACCCACTGACAGTGTCTCACTTTTATGCGTAGGGGTAATACCCGTGAATCCAACTTGGATTTGGCAGAACTAGAGTTACGACTAGTAATTACTGTCTTCTGTCACTATGGCTTGACGTAGATACTGTATATAGCTTCTTCCTCCAGAATCTAGATCTGCATCTAACATATGACATTGAAGGTGACTGTTAATCCAAAATAGTAGATTTACTTGTAAGAGACGATGGGTCTCTCAAGATTGTGGTTGCACGTCTCCTTGTCCTGTGACCATTACAATTTTTTTAAGAAGCTGATTGAGAGTTCTGATATGTGGGGGTTGTCAGAGGGACACAGGCCCTCTGGATATCCCATGTGGATTTAATTTAAAAGCACATTGCAACAATTTGAGGAACAAACACAAGAATTGCCCTTGACATAAGACTCTGAAAGAGGGTTGTTACAGTCCTCCGACTGGTGCGTTAAACCAGAACAAATGCAGTCAACGGTTTGTTAGCCAAACAACACATAGCAAGTCAAAGATGTGCGACTTGCTCAAATATGGTGACTTTTGGCTGCCACATATCTCAATCAAGGATGCTGCCAATACCCTTCTTGACTTTTCAACATAGGTTTATCTCAAGTGAGTTTTGCTTGTTCTTTTGTCACTTTGTTCCATCATTGTACTCTCAGCATAAGTGGTGAGGCACTCATAGCTTAATGATGTCAAGGTGATAAGATTTTTCAAGTAAAGCTCTAATCTTTCACTCCCTGTAAAATCCTCGGAATTTAGAAATATTGGTTAAGGTGGAATTCTTCCCACCATGTAAAACTACAATATTCTAACTCCTCATTAGTCTAAGTTACTTCACTTATGAAATTCACTAAAGCTCTCTATAAGACATGGCAAAGAGCAGAGGGAAATCAAATATTTTCCAAAACCCAAATCCACCTTTACGGGATCTTTTTATATGCCGGTTTTCTATCTAAATTCTAGTAGGATAACTTACACATTTTTTTTCCCATCATAATACATCTTGCTTAACGCAGTCTTTTCCTAAACCCCACCAAGAAGCGTAGTACCTCATAACATTGGTTAAAGTCATTTTTTTAACTAGTTCCTTCAACCTTTAAAGGTGAACTTTCTCTGGTAAAGAGAAGCATTAGGAGCAACAGTATAGGTCCTTATTGCAACTTGATGGCTTGGGACCGATTTTCCACGCCAGCTGTATCTTTCAACAAAACCACCCTCAGTCTGTCACATAAGCTTTTTCTTATTAATTTGCAGTCTCCAAACAGAGCCACAAAAAAGAAGTTGGTACTTGAGGCGACTTTCTGAGACTTTACAAAGCTCCTCCAGAGGCACAGGAGACATTGTAGAACTGTTCACACGCCGGGTTTGCTGCAGCAGTGGGTGCGTTCTTCATTTGTCAGATGCGGAATTGGGCCGTAACCAAAAATGGATTTGAATTAACTCTCATTTGGGCCAAGGTCAGTAAGTAAAGACAGATTACAAAAGGCATTTGAAAAGAGTTAAGAGGGTAAAAATAAGCAAAGACTTAACAATGTCATACACAGTGGCTTGAGTAATGATACAACATTTTCCCATTGTGTGAATGTGAGAGGAAGATAACAATGGGAACAGGGCTGTGTGGTTGGTGTAGAATTATTTTCAGGCATTTGCGTTTTGAGGGTTTTTTTCCGCCATCAGAACTTGATGGTTGATTGATCACCCTGATTGAACCCAAGTGTTTCCCATTTTGTCTTTTGATTCAATCCCCAAAGAGAACAACAAAAACGGCTGTGAATGTTCTTGATAAAAGAACATGTGGTTGGTTGATGAATGACTTATGTGTGCTCTCAAACCTCTCTCTTCTCTGCAGGGGGACCATACTTGGGCGACCATGCTGGGGCAGAGTGTTCGCTTGCAACCGGTTCCCATCCAGAGCCTCTCGGAGTTGGAGCGAGCCAGATTACAGGAAGTTGCATTGTACCACCTTGAGGAGAGGGACCTGGACTTTAAAATCAGCATCCCCAGAGGTGGGTATATGGCAATGATGGGATTTCTGGGTGATAAATTGCAGCAGTGACTGGCTGCCATTTGTATTTCCTTCACTGACCGTTTTCCAAAGTCTTTGAATTTAATCACTCTTGACCTGAGATTAGATTATTTTGTGTATAAAAAGCTACATTTGGAATATTTCTCTGCACCACGCTCAAAGCTGCAAACTGCTGTATTTATAAAATGGTCCATAATTCTTTGTTAACTCTTGCCAAGTACCCCAGAGACTTCAACTGAATCATTTTTGGTGGCCAGTCTGAGGTAGTGGTGTGGTTTTCCAGAACACAACTAGCTCCACAACCACCAGTTCTGCCTTTTTATGTGGACCATTGCATCATGGCGCTGGTGTTTAAAGGACACCGTTTTGTATCTCAGCAGCTTACAACGAAGAACGATAGTGTGTATTCCTGGCTGTTGATTTATGAGGTGCCTCTACTTTGGACTCCCAACTGACTTGAAGAAATCCAAGTCTGGCACCACTTTGAGAGCATGTCGTTGAATTTACCCCCGTTCCTGCTACAATTTGGGTTGAAAAGTCTTTGAGCGAGGCCAAATCTTCAGCTGTGTTAAGCTGCTTGTAAATCTGAGGAATGAGAATGAGTCCCTAGGGATAAACTGACACTTAACCTGAGACTTTTTAAAAAAAAAAAGGGGGTTAAAAAAACTTGTATGAGAAGTCCCAGCTGTCTATTATGATAAGAAAAGTCCAAATAATACAACCGGATTTCTATATCTTCCTGCGTTCACTCACTGATAAGAGCTGAGCCGGCGATAGATGATCCCAATGTGGTGGTATGAAGTCGGCAAATAACTTTTGAGTTTAGTCATCTTCAGCTGCTTTACCCAACTGTTTATTCTGGTGTTTAAAAAGGACTCTTTGACTCACCAAAAAAAGAAGAAGCTTAGCTGTTGTGGGCACGAAAATAAGATAAGAGAAAGCTGACAGCCAACACCCAAAAGGTCAGTTTTCCAAGCTAAACAACGCAAGACGAATGACGCCACAGCTGTAGGCGAACGACTTTTGGTCTCGGGTCCAAATTTGGCCATCAGCTTTGCAGCTCTATAGGTAGGACTGCTTATGTATTTGAGAGGAACCTAAATACACCACAAGGAGCGGAGTTTTAACAGATAGAGTGACTATTCCTTAACTATATAAGAATGAAATGGATACTGAGGGGGAGAAAAAACAAGATCCTTCACCCTACTTTATCAGCTCTATCAGCTTCAAAGCATTTTTTCTTGAGTAACATTTGGATCACTAAACCCAGATTTGTGCCACACCTGTGGAGAAGAAGAACACCCTTAATAGTAACTAGCTGGCTGGATGACAGAAAGACCAAAGGTACAAGACTGACCTCTCACTCACCCCCTAATTTCATTACTTCTACTTTGATAAACAAAGCTAAAATCTGGTCGGTCTTTAAAACCATAATAAGTCTGATTAAATGCTTCCGAGGCCTTTTTTTTCATACTCTAATGCGTCTTGTGACCGGTGAAGGTTTCTTTTAGAAAATGCTCACTTGTCCTACGAGACACGTGGATGGTATGGAACACATGTTACACAGAAAATCATCATGTGCCCATTCAGTATGAAAATTAGGCCTTTGTACTGGACAGATTTCATCCAATAAAATCCTGACGCGCTATCGCGATTCATCTCTGACAACATGCCGAATTACCTTTGTGCTTACTTTCCACTGATGTTTGCCTTTACAAGCATTCCTTATCTCGCCTCCGGACTGCTCCTCCCTTTGAAATACTGTTTATCTGCAATAGCTCGATCCATCTGAACTCCGGCGTACTAAAGCCAGCTCATAAAGTGGGATTTCGGCCCTATTAAACTCCTAATCTTTCACACTGAAAACGGAGAGGTTTGCGTTGTGTGAATTGAGGCTGGAGGGGTCAGGGAGGGCAGGGGTTTCACAGGGGCTGCAGCAGGCTGCCCACAGCTGAGTCCCTGCGTCCTCCAGGGGGTTTCTCGGTGGTCGACTCAGTCACCATGTAAGCTGCTTTTCTCAGACTCCAGTGTTCCCGCTCATACTGTTATTCTCTTGTACGGTAATTAACCTCCGACCCGCTCAACTTTGGCCTTGCTTCTGGTTGAGACTCAGTACACTTGTGGTTTTAAGTGTGTAGTTGAGCGCTTTCGTAGCTTCTCTTCCATCCGTGGAGCTCAAAGTAGGGTACAATTACCTCTGCAGATATTAGGTATCTTAAGATTTTCCCAGGAACTTCTTGTAAGTTACATTACTTGTTACATTGACAATGAATTTATGTTTTGCATTTATTGTGCCAGAAACACAAAAAAATCATCTCGAGACAAAGACACAATCAAATTCTGTATTTGGATTTAACATCAGCATCGTTTGTTGTAACATGATACAGTGAAACATTACATCAAATCCACACAACTATGGCTTCCTGTTTCAAATTTCTCACATTGATTTATGCTCATTTTCATGTACAGCAGAAGAGGATTTTAATATGTGGAATTAGACCATATCTTTGAGATATATATATATATGTATATATATGTATATATATATATGTGTATGTATGTATGTGTATATATATATATGTGTGTGTATGTCTAACTGAGCTTTGTTTAGATTAATAATTTTAGCTAGAAACACAGGAAGTTCAGGGTAAGATTGGGTGTTTGAGTGTTTCATCATTCATCATATTTTGGACGAAGAAGAACATACAAACTGGTTATACAAGTGGGTTCATCCATTACGTTTTTTTTTAGATGCATTCAGGACCAATAGTAGATTGTTGAAAGAAGTGGGAGCGAGGTTATTTAGGAGACATTTTGGTCTAAAATAAATTCACCAAGGCAAGGTTTTGTTTTGGATATAAGGAGGAGACTCAACAAACCTTTATGGCTGTCTAAACAGACTCTGAATCATTTCTTCCAGTTCTTCCTCCTTGTTTCCCACCAATAACTACACCATCTATCTAATTAGCAGACACTGCAAATCATTACACTAATGTGGATGTTTTGAAGCATGAAATGTAAAATAGAACATGTCTGGACTTAAAACTTTTGTGTCCAAACTATCCATTTAAGTTAAACACCATCCATGCAAACTCGGGAAAAGTTTGCGTGTGTTTCTCCCATATGACACATCCTGTGAGACTCCCTGTTCACTTTACTTTTGGGAAATTTCTTCAGATCAAAGCTCTACTGGAGAAATCCAGTAGAACACTTGTCATAAGAATGAATAAAAACAAATGATGTCGAGTTAAAATAGATACAGGGATGAGAAGCAATGAGGCGGCTGTCCCACTAGAGAGGGATTCAGTCATTTGGCAGAATTGTTTTATTTAGTTGTAAACAAAAGACTTTATGCTCCTTGCAGTCTCATTGGAAAAAATGTCCGAGGCAGGGCCAAAGAGAGTGATTTGTGCAGAAAATGGGATAGTAAATCAAGATATTTAATCAGATTCCACAGATAAGTATGCCAAACTAAAGACTGTTAATCGTTTTCCTATTTTGTTCAAATGTCTCTCGAGCATAAAGGTGTTCAGCTCTTGTTCTTGCGGCCTGCTATCATGTTTCCCCGCTTTGACTCATCTGATTTTGATCCAATGGCCAAATAAAAATACCTGCTCATGGCGCATTGATGTGAATCAGGTGCACTGACACAGAGAAGCATCTAAAACCTGCAGGGCACCTCAAGGACAGGAGTTGAATACTTTTGTTCTTATATGTTAAGGTGTCCCCCTGAGTAAGATTGACATGTTGACCTCATATTAAAAAGCTCATTCCTATATAAAAGTAATACATTCAAGATATTAATGGAAAGCAAAGTTTGTAGAAAAGAGCTTTGCAGTGTGCCTCTAAATAAATGTCAACCCCAAATCCAGTTTTCTCATAAGCCCCTGAAAGAAGGAGCAGCTATCCAACTTTTTTTTTTACCCTTTGAAATTACCCTAGAGTTTGGTGAAATTTGTTAAAACTAACTTAGACTGGGGTTGTTTGAAGACGGGCCAAAATCAACACACTTACAAGCCTCAGAGTAAAGAGTTTTGAACACGTTCAAGTGAACGCTTTGTGCTGTAGGGCTGGAAACCTAAGCCGTGAACCGCCGTATCTCATTCCTGAAACTATCCCCGGGGTAGTTTCGAGCCTGAGGTGTTAGGCTCAAAACAAGAGCCAGTGCACTGCTACCAAAAGTCAGAAGGCTTAGCTGTGTTCCCATTAGCTCAGACAACCCTGATCAAGTGTTTAACTTTCAATTTCCCCGGTTGATCGAAATCAGATCACCATGCAATCGTAATATTTACGTGCCGCTGTATAAAGTTTTAAAATGTAACTCTAAAGGTAAAGGCGGTGCTTGGTTTTTCTTTTGATTCACAGACATCAGCTGAGGAACAGAAGGTTTCTTCGGCCAGGTTTGGACACAAAGATCTGTGTTAGTTAGTGTGGGAAGACTTCTTTCCCATGCCTCCCCTCGGGTGAAATCTCCTCAGTCTACCATGTCTTTTCACGGTCTAGGCATCTCCTCCCGCTGTGCTCCCTCCCTCAGACGAGGGATTCTGTGAATTTTTCTCAGCTGGGTTTCTCCTTCTTTTGGTTTCGACCCTCTTTTGCCGCATGGGGTTTTATTGCTCGCGTTACATCTCGCCTTTTTCACAAGTTCTTTCTTATTTCAGCCTGTGAGGAAACACTCCCCCTTTAATAAACACCACGCAGTTGACTTTAGAAGATAGTTGTTATGTTCAGGTGTTTTAAGTATGTACATGCCTGCGAGTGTGCCTGTTATTCTTTCCAGAGAATTCTTTGTTTGACAGATTTGCTCTTATTTGGTTTGGTTTGGAGTTCGTTCTCATGCCCCACTCTCTAGCTTGCTGCTCTACAGGGATTCCAACCCAACTGGCTCTCCACATCCTCCACATCTCCACATATTTCCTCTTCTTTTTTCTTTTTTTAAATCAATGTTCCATCAAACCCACTTTTCATCTCTTAAGCCGTTATCAGACCGAGCCAGCCTCATTGGTTTGATCATGGGTGACTCGGCTAAGGCGGAGAATGAATGCTTTGTTAGGCTGCTCTGAGCCTGTCTGCTTAGGGTACTGAGGGGAAGACGAAGTTCAGTCAAAGTTTATGAAAACGCTGAACAATGCTGTTATCCTACCAATTACACCCCTGCGGATTGTTTGTTCCTGCAGCTGGAAGTGACCCTCAACTGCAATTAAAGCCCACACCACCTCAGGTGGTTGTGAGAGAAGCCTCATGTATGACGCTAAAATGACACTGGCCAACTCAATGAGGCGGGGGGGAATTCTAATCCGAAGCAGTGCGTTTTTACTTACATATGTTAAAACTCTTACCCGGTAATCTTAGACTCATGTAATGTGTTTTTAGTAAGGTGCACAATGGCGTCCATTAGCGTCCATTAGCCCTTAACTCTCCAACCGATCAATATTGTCATGTAGACCCAACCCAAAAAATGCTGTTATTTTCGTAAACCCACGACTTACAGTCACATTTGGGATCTAGAGCAGGACTCTGCGTTTGAAGGTCCTGCGCATAATAACACCAGTCGTACCCTCTTTGCCTGCTATCTTCCAAGAGATTTGCGGCTGGTTGAAGGAGGCACTCGAGCGTTACATTTGCTTTGAAGTGGAAACACTTTGCATGAGTCCTATCCCCATCCGTCACCTGCAGGGCCGGGAGGTTAGAGAGTCTCCCCCCGGCTCGGCCCAGAAGTATTGTCATTGGTGTTTGTTTTTTCCTCTAAATCCCGGGATCGTCATGCATGCCTTTTGAAATGTTGCATTTCAGTCAAAATAACTGGAACACTGCACTCTAACCTTGTTATTTATTGGTATATCCAATGTTCTTAAGACTATCTGCATACAGTCTGGTGGGGGGGATGGGTGACCTCATCCTGTAATTTTTGGAGAGCTTTGGGTGAAATTGGTGTTTTAGATTCTTGGCAACTCTTTTATTTTATTATTTTAATAATCTTCTTCACTCCTAAACCACCTTAGTGCCCACTCTCCGAATCAACATCCAGTTATTAAAGCTGGTGCGATCTCAATCACTCCAACAAACCAGCATGTTAGTGATGCAAAATTACAGAGAAAAAATAGTCACTTATTCTCTCAACGCTTCGCACACACACCACACACACTCGTGAGTCGATCGGTTTTAGCTGGAAGCGGCGTGTGTACGTTGGGAGGAGCTGTTCGCTTTGGAAACAAACTTCAATTTCCTGCAGTCATGGGAATTTGACCCCTTCATCCCAACAGAAAAAACAAAATCTTCTGTTTTCTCTTGTGCTATTTATTTTTGGTCCACTTTTTTTCCTTGTGAGTTTGACCCACGTCACATGTATTTTGTACGACATAATCTGCACTGTAGGTAACTCTGATGGTTCCTTAAATTAGCCGTCTCAAGACTCACCCCCTCAGCTATCTCTAAGCGACGAGCTTTACCAACCATAACAATGGCTTTTTCCGAGTAACCCCAGCGTCAGATGGGGAGCATGTAGGGCTCATAAAAAGAAAAGGAGACCAGGCTCGACAGAAAGTGCAGACGCTCTGCAAACACACTTTGGAACCGCCGCTGTAAAAATATCCTCCTGGTATGCAGCCCTGGCTTCACTGCTATCTTTACACCCCACTGGATAATAGAGGAAGCAACAGCAATAAGGAAGCTGAACTGTATGAGGATGCATTAATGTAGATATACAGTAAAGTGAGAACAAGGAGAGACTTCATATTCTTACAAAACACAGTTGGATCCAGTTTGTTTAGTGCTGTAGCTCTACAGAGAAGTGGTTCAGAACATTATTTTAAGTCAAGACCAGTTATTTTTTGAATTCTTGGGGATTTTTACAATCTAAAGTGAGAAGTTATGAAATGGGGTATTGTTGATATTGTCTTGTCCCCCCCACACACACCAAAAAAGACCCATTATCTTTCTCAAATTCGTATTATTTTGAAATTGAAAATATCTATTTCCATTTACTGTTTTCATTGCAAATTAGTCTTTGAACACCTGCAACAAAGTATCTTTTTAAACTTAAAGGAACTTTTCTTTGCGTTAAAATCTATGAACAGAACTGAAAAATTATTCTATTTGACATTTTTAAAAAGTATATTGTTGCTTTTCGGTATCTGCTGATTTGTGTCTGTTTAATGTCTCTCTGGACTGTTTATTTCCCTTTCTATTCAGAAACACACACGTCTACTTTCATGTACAGCCTTTAAGCAAAGTGGGCTCCTCAAACAAACAAAGACTATTGAATTTGTCTGCTCTATTCTTAGAGCTAAGGCAGAGGCATTAGCGCTCAGGTGAAAACGATTCAAAGAGCGGATAATTCAGCAGAGGAAGAACAGGACAGTAGAGGCAGCTGTCGTTTGTTTTGCACGGGGATGAACTTTGGCAGCCGTTGTTTGTTCAGATTAACTCCATTGTGACTTTTCCCCCCCCTCTCCACAGAAGTACAGAAAAGAAGAAAGTCTCTACGGAGGAAATTTGACTCCTTTTCGAAGGAGAAGAAAGAGCGAGGTAAGTTCATGACACTAAAGTAGATAAACACAACATGCTCGGTGGCCTCGGCTTGTTCGCTGCGGTAAACTGTGAACGCGCCATCTCAGAATCTCAGATATTTGGTGTTTACCACAGCAAACATCACCACGAAGGACAATGTCCCCTCTGTGCTCTGGAGCGGCCTCGTCTCCGCTGGCGTCCGGTGGCTTTTTACCCACGTCGAACACTAATGGTCCCACGTACTTGAAATGCTGTGTTTACAGCGGACCAGTGGCTCAGGGCTACAAAAGGCATCGCGTCCGGCTGACCGAGTCGGGCTCGTGTCTCTTTGTTTCGGCCGCGTTGTCACAGCCTCGACCCAACAGTGAACGGACACGAGCGCCCGCCAGGCTCCTCCGCGCTCACGCCGCGTCACGTTACAAAAACAATTAAAAAACTAACAGTGGACAGGGTTTATTTTGGCTGCGATATCATGGCTTTGCTTGAATATTTCAGTGAAATCGTATCTTTACCGAAATTCAGCCTCCCGAGACCCTGCGTTCTCCTATGAGAACTTTAAATTTAGGCCTTTGTGAACCATAATATTTATATAAAAATATAATTTTTTCCACTTTGACCTATTGGCCTCAAAGTACACACTATCAGACGCTAATGACTGAAATCTAAAATGAAATGGTTTATTCGTTTTCATCCAATCATGTCCGTATTGTGGAATTACAATTGTGGGAATTAAGTCATTTGAACGTTCAGAACCAAATTGTGAAGAAGAATTTGAAATACTTAAATACACATTTTAAACACAAAGACTAATCCACTGTCACTAGATGAGGATAAACTTCCTGTACCCTGACAGAGTCTAGGAATTAAACTCATTACGTCCTACCAAGCCAATAAATATTGGAGAATGCAAAAAATAAGGTTCAAATCCCAAAGCTAACATACATTGGTGGTCTTAACACTCAGTTTGGAGGCATCAGTCTCAGTTTGGACTACCTAAATATTCTTCAAACCTTTTCTGTTTTGTAAAAACTTTTTGATTTGACCTCCTTTTACTTCCAAACAACATTCTCTCCGTACAAATGCTGCAGTGAGGCTTCCTCTTACCAGAGACTTGCTACAAAGATAAGTTTTCCGGAATAGTTGGTACAACTTGTGAGTCATGAACTCATATGGACGCTTCTCTTGAGGACTCTTAGAAATAAACAGGGAGATTGTTTTTATAGAAAGCATGTTTCCTATTATGTTGGTATCCAATTGAACCCACAGTTGTACACTGGTTGCTCTTCTTGACTCGTTCATGTTAAAGGAGCAAGTTTAAGTTTATTGCACCACTGATGATACATGGTGACAAAAGTTTGCACTTTTTTATGGGTGTGTCAGACTCACCACATGAGTCCATCCATCCATTTGCAATTCCCCATAGGGGGACTGGAGCCTAACCCAGTTGCCATCGGGTGAAAGGCAGGGTACACACTATATCAACAATCATAATAGAGTCATAATTCAACCTGACATGCAAGATTTTGGACAGTGGGAGGAAGCCAGAAATACCCAGAGAGAACTGACAACCTCCAAAAAAAAGTTCCACAGGTCCCCACAGATTTGAAAAGTGAACACATTATGCTGAAGCACCAACACCACTCTGCAGCCCAAGCTAGTTTCCTCTTCTGCCGAAAAAGGGAGAAGTTGGATTTTTGGCCCACCGTACGTTTCAAATTCTTTTTTGCAAGCCTCATTGCTTGTGCAGGAACTTGGATGGAATTTGGTCCCCGGCAATGTTGCCCAGGGATCTGCCAACACGAGATCTATTGTAGAAAGGGGAAAGAGGCTGAAAGTTAAATGTTTTTATTCATTTAGTCTCAGGGGATTAAATACCAATTTCATTCCCCAGAGCAGTCATATTGGCTGTTTGCCTTTATCTGAAATAATGATACTTTTATCATAGTTTAAATATTTTTTTGTTGTTGTTTTTGTTTGTTTGTTTACTTACTGCTGTGAGCCGTGGGGCCATGCATCTGCCGGTGTGACCCAAATCTCTCTTAAAGAGATGTTCTCTATTCTCAGGTGATTATCACAGCAGGGCAAGGCGCGGGCAAACGTACAAGACACTTTCCCATTCCCAGGCTGCCTGCGCGGCTCTTTAAATCCTGCCTCCGGCCTCACACACACGGGGTCTTAGCTGCTGCTAACTGAATTACTCAAAACACAGAACATTGGGGACCTGGCAGAGCTCCGCCTGGCTCCGCTCCTCTACTACGCAGGGAGGGATCCTCCAGGTGGCCGGCACGTTGCGGCCTACGTGGAGCAGGGTTCCAAAGTTGTGACTGTAATCTGTTTAGAGCTGGGGTGAGGAAAATGATGATACACTAATAATGATCATTTAAGTTATTATGGCGTGCGTTAGATAAACGTAGAATATTGTAGCCCAAAAGACCAAATTCATACGTTTTTTTCTAACATATGTTGACCGTAGGACCAAAAAAAACTCAAGAAAGAGAGCAGTTGAATTCCTAAACAATGAGAGTTTTAAAACACACAGCTGTCTGAGTTTGCTCAACACCACAGGAAGTCCTTCACAGACTCATCGGTCACAGAGTGTTTGTGAAATCTAAACATGGTTGTATAGAATTAGATGGCAATAACCCCCTAGAAATTCAAATGAAGTTCGAAGACGATGACCCGCCAGAGAAAAAAAAAAACTTTTCCACAACTGTTCATCCGTGAGGATTTGAATACTGTATGTTTGATGTGCAGATTCAAATTTGCAGGGTCAAGAATTTGCTTTATTTCCTCAAAAAGGGCATTTGATGTGGAGGGGGCAGACTTCCCACAGACGTCAGGATGGAGGAATAAGCACGGGCTTTGTGATCAAACAGTCCATTACGTCTTGTGCATGAGATGACATCCTTTTCAATGGATCAAGCTGGCCCTTGTTGGCAAGGATCCCTTTCTTTCTTTAGGTGGTGAGGGTTAGGGGAATGGCTGGAGCCTATCAGAGCTAACGATGGGAAAGAAACGACAAAATCTTGAGTTTTGCTCAGAGATGCTGACAACTGACACGTTTTGCATTGCTGGCGGAAGGAGAAAACATCTTTGTCAAGCCTCGTTGCTCTTACATAAATTCAGTTCTTACATTTTCTGTTGATTTACATAAACACACTCAGTTTAAAAAATTTTCCTTCTCATCGATTACGAGACGAATGCTGGACCCGACTCTGTAGAAACTCAAGTAAGTCTCCAGACCGTCCGAGAGTTATTTCAAGCTGAGTCAATCCCATAATTTCAAGGCTTTGCAGGGCAACCCGCCAGTTCCTCTTGGTGATGTGACCTGCTTGGGGCTTCGCTCCCAGGTGTGAATCCACGTGTGCGCGTTCGAGTCATCCATGTGTGCCATTCCAACAGTCATGTGCTTTGTCACGGTTCTCTGAATGTGAGCACGCTTAGGCATAGGTGCAACCCTTTTAGCGTGACTCGCGAGGAAAGCATTAGACCGGTGTTTCACCTGCTTCTTAAAAACAACGAACAGCTCACATGTATGCTTGGGTGTAATTATTTCATGTATATTGGGAGCTGGAGAGTTTTACTAGGAGACCTAAACATCTACACCACAAACCTGCTAAAGAATGAAACGTCAATCACAAAATACCATTTGTTAATAAAACTCAAAGTACATTTATCGTTATTTTTTATCTGTTAAATATTTTTTTCTACAATTGAAGTTGATTTTGAATGAGATGCAATCGCATTTGGGAGGTTTATTCAAACTTAAAGAATGAATGGGTCTAGGAGCTTTTGCAGCTCAGATTCTTTTTTTTTTTTTTTACAACAAAAGTTTAATTACCCTTGTTTGACATGACAATTAAATATACTTCTCTTACCAGGGGGTGAGTTTAGCTCACGTCTTTAAACCCACACTTTGTAAGAGGCTTAGGGAGATGCTTGTAGTGCAACAAAGGGTTTATCTTTGGATCCATGAACCACTCATCTGACAGTAATTGCCATTTGGCCTCCAATCCACACCAGCCTACATATCTGAACCATGACTATACTGGCAATATATTAATTACCCTCTAAAATTTGTTATACATAAAGTTTTACCCATTAAATTGATTGGCATATGAGAGTATTACCAGTAGTGCTTTCAACCAAGATCCTCCAAATTATTTATTTATTGCTTCTTATTCATATGGCAGCATTACAAATATCATTGTGCTAAACACTAAACTTCCTGGTTGAGTTTGGGCAGAAAAACTATTTACAACTAGGCTCAAACACGTTTGCCATTCAATCCCGCTGTCATCCATGTGATTAGCTGGTTTAACCCATCACAACCGAATGGCATAAAACACAACAAAAACCGAATTCTTTAAACCTGATCTATGGTAATGTATAATTTCTTTAAATGAAAAGATCAAACACTCAAATCGGACAACTTGAACGACGTCTGGCTTTCAAACTTTAGTTCTGCTATTCATAATTGAATAGTTTTTGTGTTGCCTCTCTAATTCTACCCAACACTGGGGTGGCTGGGGCTCAGGGGGTAGAAACCGTTGCCTACAAGTGGGTGAATTTGCAGTTTGATCTGCAGGTTACATGTTGAGGTGTCTTGGGGTGAGTCGGCGAATCCCCAGTTTCGTATCCTGTTTTTGCCGGTCCCAAGCCCCGGATGAATGGGAGGGTTGTGTTAAGAAGGCCGTCTGGCGCGAAGACTCCTGCCACCCGTCGATCTCTAACCAGAAAAGCTGAAAGGCAACTTTTATCTAGAACTTAGTCTTCCTTTTGTTGTATTTTTACACTTTGAGGGTTAACCAGGGTGTGTAAAAAAAGATATAGAGTCCTATGATGTAGCTAGGTGAAGGATTTGGGGTTTTTTAGCTGAGCAGCTGACCATGGAACTCAGCCCAACCTTACTCCTGTTGTGTTTACCAAAGGCCAGCGCCGCTGTTGTGGCAGTAAGCCTGTGTCAATCTCGATGTCTGGTCTGTGACTCCGGCTGCTCTAACGGGATTATCCCTCTCCCGCCTTCTCTCCCCGTCCCTCCCGTCTTATACCGCGCGCCGACCTGGAACTGTAATCCTTGGTGAGATTACTGCATTGACGAGTCACCAGGTTCGCCTCAACGTCACTGGTGCTTAGCGTCCGCTTGACGGTTTGAGGTTCCATCCGTCCGTCCCTACGTTTTCTGCGCCGCTTATTCCCGACGGGGTCGCGAGAGGGCTGGAGCCTATCCCAGTATTCAAAGGGCGAGAGGCGGGGTGCACCCTGGACGGCCCAGGAGTTTGAGGTTCAGTCATCATACATCGCTTTAAGTTCAATCTAACCAATTTCATAGCATATCCACCTTCCAAACTTCTTCAACAACTACCATCAAACTCAATGTACTGTCTCTTTTCCCATCAAGGCTGTAACTTTCTAGATTAACATATAGTAAATATATACATATACATATCTTATGAAGATGCACTTTGCGTGCACAGTCTGCGAACTCAGTGGCGTCCACTTCACTGGACTAGATTCAAGTCTTTCAGCATCATCAGGAGTTAGGTGGCCTCCTCCCGACTTCCCACTAAGGGGTATAACTGTAACTGTAAACTGTAAACACTGGTTGTATTTTGGGCCGACCTTACTACAGCACACTCTGTTGGATCCCACTCTATCTTTGTCAAGTTTCCCCACAATGGCAACGTTTTTACTTATAGTCAAATAACAAAAGTTGTGTTATATTTACCTTTTTTTGACTATATGATGACTCAGTAGGTCTGAAAAGTCCATGTCAGCTCTACGGCACCAGAGCATACTTCTTGAACTGGGCTGCAAGGCCATCTTTGTTCTTGTTCTCTGCATGTTTTGGTATTAAGTCCCTTGTTTCCTTGCTTCACAGAATCTGCACCCAAGGCATTCAGGATCCCCCTCTCTCAGGTCATTGCCAACGACCAGGCCTACAAGCGGCGGCAGGATGCCCTGAAGGAGAGCAGGCGGGACTGCCTGGACCTGGAGGCCAGCATTCTGCACTTCAGGGCCGAGAAGCGGCAGTTCTTCAACGGAAGCAAGCCTCTGGCCAGCGCCTCTTCCATCACGGGAGGGGGTCCGGGCTCACCGTCTGCCAACTCGGTGGCCCCCGCGCCATTCTTTGACACCCCGAATAAGCCGCCGCTGCCCACGTTACCCGACAACACCGGCAGAGGACAGAGGAGAGTGAGTTGGCTTTATGAAATAACACTATGGTTTATGGTTGCTCCATGGTGAGAAAACATTTATTCAATAATAGTTGTAAAGATCCTCGACATGTCATGAAATGTGACCTTAAAGAATCAAGATGTGGCGATTATATTGTGAAGTTCTAAAGCCAATCTGCTAAAATATATTGTGAAACAGAAAAAAAACCTGTTGCTTATCTCAAACAACATAGCTGTGTACAGCATCTCTGAAAACCTGTCCATCAAGATAAGACATCAAGACAAATTTGAACCATGTTGTTGAAGATTTCCACTGCTGTGTGTTATTATAGATTGTGTATTTGCATTTCTATCCATGAGTGTAAACCTCTATGCTCGAGATGAACACACCCAATACTTACCGTCATACCAGTCGTTTTGTTAATCCGATGATGACTATCATGACAGTCATAGAGGTTCTCAGACCTGAACCGGCTATCACGTGTAGCTGTTACCTGGGTAAACAATGTTTACAAAGTCCTGCCTGACTGGAGACTTTTGATTGCAATCACATTGTGCTGATTATTCTTATTATTGAGTGATAATTCTTTCTGTTTTTAGTCAAATTCAGGTTTCATGTAAGGAAAGACCCATATCATTATCTATGCTAAGATTTGGGGCATTGTGTAGTTAAATACAAATGGTGCTTTATTAGAAGTTGCTGAGTGTCCAAACTTATTTTATGAGTATAAAAATATTGCTTAATTTGCTTTATTAGCCAATTGCAGCTGACAGTTTCTATCAGTAGTGCGAAATAAAGGGGAATTCCAAAAAATGATGCATTCCCAATCACAATCCAAGTAATTTCTATGCATGTTGTTAAGATATAAAGGTGCAGCTATTAAAAACTGACAACTATTTATTTAGTTAATGATTTAAAGTTTGCCGTACCCATAACTTTTTTAGTTTAGTGCAAATATAGATCTCTTAACCAGTCAACAGTGGCCCAATTCCCTTCAAAGGTCTTATCTCTCAACCCCGACTGCCTTATCTGACCTCAAATCAGTTATTTTTGAGTTTGTGAGTGTAAGAGGGGTTGAAGCATTCATGCCCTAAAAAGCCACAACCATCGTAGGATATTTCTTCCCAAAGCAGCTGTGCTTCGTTGTGTGTGTATTTGTAGGTGATGGATGATCTTGTTTGTGTATCAACAAGTTTCCTATTGCCCGCGGATAATTCCTGCAGGGATGGTTTGCAAAGGCGAGGATTCCCAGAAAAGGAATTTCTTCTCAAACTCCTCAAGATCCAAAGTGGATCCTCAGGAGAAAGATCGGGGAAACTTTGTCTGTCACGACGCAATTCAAATGGAACCGCTGACAAACAGGAAAAAGCATTGACACAAGCATTAACAAAATGTTTGCCTCACATTTTTTACCACTTTTTTTTGGAGGGAAAAGGGACTGCGTGGCTTGCTGTGTCAGACATCTGTCCCAACATACAAATCCTACTGACAAAGACTAAGCTTTTATGGCACCACAGAGGTCTTCAAAAGAGTCCTGCACACCCCGGATGGCCCCAGTCTCCTCAGCAGGTGGAGGCGACTCTGGTCCTTCTTGTACAGGGTGTCAGTGTTACCAGTCCAGTCCAGTTTTTTGTTCAGTTAAACACCCATAGAGGTGTCCACCACCTTGATGATTGATCCCTGAATGTTCACCGGTATGAAGTCGGATGTCTTCCTCCTGGAAGATTTTCTTTTGTCTTGCTGGTGTTGAGCTGAGGCTGGTTTGGTCAGCCGGGCTCTGGGATTCAGGCAGACGAGGTAGCACAGTTGCCCCACAGAAGCACGAGCTGGGTGATAACGGATGGTCTGCTCATCAAAAGCCCATCATCAAAAGCAAGATCACATTTCAGTCCACATATATTTGTTTCACTTCTATAAAGGCTCATTCTTTTGGGCATTTAAACGCAGAAAATACGGCTCATTTGTCGCAAATTTGTGTAAATTTTTCATTTTTTAATGTTTTTACTTGGCTGCACTGCTGGTAGAAATTCCTCTTGTGACTTTTGATGCACCTCCAGAAACCATTTTGAGGTCGGTGATTTATGTCTATTTGCTTTAATGGCTTCTGCGGATATCTGTTGGATGGATACACCGAAATCAGTGATACATTTTGACTCATCTATTATTGTGGCCTCTCGTCCAGCCATCTGTCTTCAAATACTTCAGATCTTTTCCTGCCAGTGTCCTTTTTCCATTGGTTTCTTTCCTAAAGTTCTCTCCCCTACACTGTCATCTGGCCCTTGACAGTCATCCTTCCTACTATTTCATCTTATCTGCTATTACTTCATGTGATTTTTACCATCTCTTTTTTGTAAAAAAAAAAAAAAAAAAAGAAGTTTTAAAAAGGGGGAAGTTTTAAGTACCACCAAGTCCCTAAAAGAAACAAAAATAGCATTTAGCCCATAAACAGACTGCTACAGGTTGGATTCTTTAGCTTTAACAATTGAGAAACTGATGCCAACAGACCTCATAACATATGATAAACAACTATTGAGTTTTTTTTCTTATCTAAAAGTCAACTTTGTATAATATCTGTCATTTCTCTCTACAACCCAGGGTGGTCTGTCAGTGGACTCCATCTCTGACCTCGTGGAGAGCCAGTCCCGCTTACTGGAGGCGCTGCAGCTCTCCCACCCGGCCGAGCTGGAGTTGAAAAAATCCCCGTCAGAGGGGCGGACCCAAGCCAAGCTCAGCCTCAACCCCATCTACAGACAGGTTCCCCGGGTGGTGGAGAGGTGCTGCAGCCACATTGAGAATCACGGTGAGATGGGATGCGATACGTTTGGGCATCCCCAAACTGAGAAACTGCTGCATCCTGAGGAGCAAAGCTTTTGTTTTGAGATTTAATCCTTTAAAAAATGACATCTCGTTCCTAGGTCTTCAGACGGTGGGTATTTTCCGAGTTGGGAGCTCAAAGAAGAGAGTAAGACAGGTGAGAACACTCATTACTTTGGCCATAAGAAAATAACTGTGGGATGAATCATGAAAAACAAAGAATATAAACCTATCGTTAACTTCTCAACTAAGAATAAAAGTTAGCTCACACGTACATATGAAAGTAAAACATGATAGCTATAGAAGCCCTAAAATATCTTTTTTTAAACAAAATTAGATTTAATTATTACATTTGAATGCGTGGAGATCCATTTGCACTGCCCTTGACATCTATTTTTGTCCAATTTCTTTCTGAAATCTGATTATTGAAAAAAAAAAAGAGCTGGTGAAAGAAATGATGAACTGTAAATCACCAAGAACTGTAACTTTTACATCTATAGCATTAGGTTTAGTTGGTTTTGGTCAACGCAGGCTGGACTTAAGAAGAAGCAAAAAAAACTTGGTTGTACAAGAAGAAGTCTTAGAACTAGAATGTTTTTGATCGTCAGTTTGGAATGGTGTTTGTGAGCATCATCAAAACTCAACACAATGTACGATGCATTTGCTTGACTGCTTAGGGGCTGTCGGCCGTGGTTAAGAATGGCGAGAAGCTATGAAGAGAAGATCTGTAATCAGCCAAATCTCTACAATGTGTCTTTGCCACTGCTATGTTTGGGAAAATGGATCAAAAATCATTTGATGTGTGCACATGTGGAGAGAGATTCTCAGAAGAAAAAAAAAAAACAGAGTGGGAACTGGGTAAAGGCTGTGTTTTTTTCCTGGCCGGGTCATCTGTAGTGCTCCCTGGTGGAATCTTCCGGTAACGGGAAGTTCGCAGGCAATTCCGTGAACCCTTTTACGCAGATCTGATGAAGCACCCTCTAAATTTAGGACAAGCATCACTAAAAATCCCAATATCCTGCAAAAAAAAAAAAAAAAAACTTGGGTGTAGCCAACTGGTCAGCTGTCGTCAATGAACATTATTCACTCTAATTCAAAGAAAAGAGCAAATTTCAGGCAACAGAGGAAGGTCAGAATTATGTGGGACAAACTGTTCAAAGTAATTTCGCCACATGGACACATGGGACCAATGCAGGACGGCCCTAACTACCAGCAGCTGTCCCGACTTCTGTCCTGAAAAGCATCTGTGTTAGCCTGGATGTATATTTGTACTACATTCCCTATGTAGCCAGTTGTTTATGCCGTTAAATCACTTTTGTCTGCATTGACAACCTCCATATGGTTGAATTTTTGGGAATATCTATAACAAAAATGTGTTTGTATATCCAGCTGTATTGTAGTCAACCATAGTCTCAGTCTGATGCAATACAATTTTTGACAATTAGATGGTTATCTCATGTGTGTGTTTATAAAGACATAAAATCTGGAGCTTATTGTTCCTCATTTAATTTATTGATTTATTTTTCAGTCACTATTCAATCAGATTATAATCTCATCCTAATGAACTCAATAAGTAACAATAAGATCCATTTAGTTAGGTTCAGTGATCCTCTATTAATCTACAAAAGGAAATTAAATCCCAGCAACATTATTGGTTTTAGAATTTGATTTGACAAATGGCTAAATAAAGCAGCAAAAAAAGGCATCATGTAGAAAGTGGAAGTGTAGCTGAGAGGAAAGTGTGGAATAAACACCTAGAAGAGAAGCTCTGGTTTTGTTAGGACTTTGTTGATTCATGTGGAAGCGGCAGGAGGGAAACAGGGAGGAGGAGTTCCAGAGGAGAAGCGCAAACCGGACACTTCTCAGTTACTTGCACACTCCTATTCCATGTTGATATATAAATATAGTATACACGGTTGCTCCCATAAATTACTCTGGTGGAGCTCTGAGTCATCCGAATCACTGTCCCATGCTTCCCATCACTCTGCCGCTGGTTGCTGGACAATAAAAACAAGCTGATGAAGTGTGACATCCTGTTTTGGAGAAATCGTGTCCATCAGGGGGACCGTGGCCCCTTTATGACCCTCAGCAAGAGCGTCCATGACCCTCATGTTTCTATCTGGGAGTCTTCTTTTCCCTGTTGTGCCGGTTTTAATTATTTTTTTTTAAACTGAATTTGTCCTCTCGGTGTCCACTTGTGTTTTTGCCCCCTCAGCTGCGAGAGGACTTCGACATGGGGGTGGACGTCCAGCTGGACGAGGAGCACAGCGTGCACGACGTGGCGGCGCTGCTCAAAGAGTTCCTGAGGGACATGCCTGACCCTCTGCTGCCCCGAGAGCTCTACCCTGCCTTTCTGCATGCCAACTGTACGCAAACATACATACACACAAACATACATACATACACACACACACACACACACACACACACACACACACACACACACATACATACATACATACATACATACATACATACATACATACATACA